TTCTTTTCTCGGCAAATTTTCATAACAAAGATTTTCAAGTGTTCTGTCTTGCAAAAGTAACTACTGAGCCACTTTGTCTAGCGTTTCCGTCGGAATAATTCAATGACGCTCTCTATGTACAGTTGATATCGTCGCAACTAGTCGAGGCGGTGTCAGGAGGAGCGGAAGGAGCCCCTGCGGTGTTTTCCCAGCACGGCTGATTTTTTCTTGGACCTATACCTTTTAGTGGAAAATGAAGCCGGCGATAAGCTCGTTTTACGCCTCCTGACACCACTCGACTGACTGCGACGATATCAACTGTGTGTTATTGCTGCACTGTACCGAATTTGATCAGAGGTGATGTCCTAGCCATCGTCTAGTTCGCAGCGGATGAAGGGGCGTGTCAGGCGGGATATGTGGCGCGGTGCCGAACCCGTTCTCCACCAGTTTTTCAAGCGGACCAAGACAAGATAGTATCATATCGCTCGTATCTCTTTTTCTATCAGTTGTCTACCCGCGAGAACGGGTTTGGCGCGTGGCACACTCACACTCCCTGACACGCCTTTTTATCCGCCGCGAACTAGAGTATACGAGCGTCCCATTCCTTTAGATTGACCCACCGATCGAAATCCCTTTGGATCTACCTCATCATTAACAATTTTGTGTCGATACGTGTCGTCACGATCGCCTGGGAATAATGAATGGCAGAACATCGGCAATTTTCTTCAACATAGGGAAGGTGGTACCTTCACCAACCCATGTTCTCCTTGAAATTCTAGAAAAGAGTTGCGAATAGCCGCACAGATGAGGCTCTGAACGAATGACACTATGTGTAATTGACCTTCATCACAAACATTCCAGGCAACTCAGAGGCCATTAATTTAATGACTTACGAGGCGGAGGTGGTGTAGTGACAAGAAGCGCGCTTACCACTCCCGCGGTTGTGGGTCCAAATCCCAGGTCGACTCTCGCCATGCCAACCGAGCCTCATACCCTCCGGGGACGGTGAATGTATTAGATTCAACTGGGAGGGTAAGTAGTAACACTGAGTTGTACATCGGCTGTCCCACGAAAGCATAGGCCACGTTCAATAAACCACACGATTCTGAATGGAAGTGGAATGCGTGCCGCAGCCCCTAAAGAGATTGCTCGAAGGCGACGACTTCATCCCTTTCAGTTATCATGATTTTCTCGAGAGAATGTTCGAAACAAGATAATTTACATTTTCTTGCTGCCATTTCTTCTCCTTCGGATTTGCTTTTTTTCCGCGGATACCTTCATTGTAAGCTTGTAGCACATATTTATTGGGGAAGCAGCCAAATTGAAAGCTCAACTCTATGAACTTGCTAGCCGTTGTGATCGTATTTGTTGAGATCGAGCAACTTTACTGTTCAGGTATGTTTGGTGCAGCTAGTGCAACTTACAAAAATTTCAAAACACCTCGTGCTCTTGTCCAAATTTGACACGAGTGAAGTTAATTGTCGCTTACATTATCATTATTATTACATCATTTGTTCCTAGCAATACAATATAAGTTTGTCACAATAATTTTCAGATCGACTACGCACGCAAGAATTCCAACGCTATGATGGCTGGAACAATAATCGTGGAAATCCCGGCTGGGGAAGTGTGGGTGAGCGTATCCGTAGCTAAAAAATAGCTCAAACTGACAAGCTAAAATTAGGTGAAAAAAGCAATAAACTTGTTAGCGTTCAAACATGGTTGACGAGCAGTTTGTCGCATTTTTTATTACCAATTTACTGGGGTCAACGAAATGTGATGCCTTCACAAGTAGATTATCTGAGGTTAAGGTTACCCGTACCTGATCACCTGCAAGGATCAGGGGTACGGGTAACCTTCCGAGACCAGGTAGCCTTTCAGCGCTTTGATCATGAATTCTTGTTATTATTGGTTGCACATTCCAAACTGCAACCGTACAATATAGCTATTAGGTTGGCGGGAAAGTTCTGTCACATTTTTCAAATTAGGCTTTCTTTTTATAGAGAGGCGTGTAAGATCAAAATTGTACAGCAATGTTACTGCGGGGTCCTTGCCAGTTTTTGAGCACCTCATGGATGCCATCGCTTCACAATGCAGGGAGGCGCGACGCAAAGTTGGACATCATCTCAATCTTGACTTGAACTCGGGTTATGGAGGTTTTCTCGTCCACATAACGATTGAGTACGGGAGGCAACTCGCAGTTAGAAGGAGCAATGTCTGTGCTACACCAGTGCAAGGGGAGAGCCATCCAGCTCTATTGCATGAGGTACGGCTCGAACTTTTTTGGACGGAGTGCGCTGCACTATCATGATGAGGGCGGGCTGTGCGGACAATTTTTCCCTCTGATCGACGGTACGCTTTAGATCTCGTAGCTGCTTTGCGTACGCATTGACCGAGGAAGCAGCTTCTTCATCCAGTTTCACGACCCGCAGCTCCCTCAATCTGAGTTCACAGGTAACCCAAACCTCACTTCGTCATCAAAACTGTAGGCTCCCGCTTTGAAGCATTAGCGTCGTGGAAGGTTGTCCGATAATTGAGGGCATCGTCCTTATTCAGCTCCATTATTTTGGCATCAGCTATCATGCTGGCGTCAGGGTGGTGGAAGAAAGAGTTTGAGGAAGCGTCTGGAGGGGTCGGTGCCGATGGTAGCGGATAAAATCCTTGTCCATATTGCAGAAGAAGAAGAAGCAGGAGTCAAGCGAGTGGTACTAATAGAAAGACCACTCCTTGATGTATAAGTGCTCACATTACCGGTTACCCCTCTTCAGGTAATGGGCAAGTATTTTGAGTTCGAAAAGTGTGACAGAACTTTCCCGCCAACCTAATACAATAGAGGCATATCCCTGCATTTGAAGACATGACAGACACTGAGCGAAGCAAGCGAGAGTGTACGGAAAAGCTACAGATGAGTGTGTACACTAGTACTACTACACAATTCAGGTAGCCGACTGCTCAGAGATTCTCCTGCTAACTACGAGGATGGAAGGAACAAGATGAATCTCTCCCTACCGTCAGCACGCGTCATTTCTGAACTCGTTTTTAAAGGTGCTTTTTTAACCTCCATTGTATCTGTTCTTTTTAACAATATACAAATGCATGAAGGATAACTAGATATTAGGCAGCAGGGCGGCGAAAATGGCTATGTGAGTGGTGTTCAGTGTCCAATGCGCGGCATTTGCTCCTAGACCTGGATCATTTGATGCTAAAACGCCACAGTAAGGCAAATTAGGAATCTCCGTGCGCCGAGCTCCATTCTGCGTGTCACCGGAATTCGAACTTCTTTCAAAGCACTCTCCCAAGGTAGAACCATTCCACAAATTCTGGGATTCCACAACCAGCAGCAGGACACGTGCCTGCCACTTCCATTAAATCCACACTTGTCTATAGTGTGT